AAAAGAAAAAAAGAAAAAAGAACGGAAGAAAGGAGAAAAGGAGGGAGATATCTTGCCTCGTATTAATTGCTTCATTGCCACGGATAATTTTATTCGCGCGTGAACAAGCTCTATTCTACTTTGCCTGGGGTATTATGCAAATACTCGTGCACTCCGCGAAAATTACGTATACCCCGTTACGTTCATGTTAACGACGTTGTTCAGCGTCGCGTCAAAATCTCCGTGGTCGCCGAAAAATCTTACGACACGTACAATTTTTTCCACGCTACACCCTTTAACGCCCTTATTTCCCCCGGTGCCGTGTTCCCGGACACGAATAGCGGAGGCCCTATTATGCAAATGTACGAGGTGAAACGGCCTGGACCTAGCTATGATCGTTCAGAGACAACCCCCACCGCACGCTCCTGCGGGTGTAGTTTATACCGTGAACGGGGTGGTTGAACATAGAAGGCCACTACAGGGAAACAGGATGCGCCCGGTACGCACGTGCGTAGCTTATGGATGCTTACGCTCTTGCGTGCTCTTTTAACGACGCGGGAAAATCGCGTCGGTTCATAGGTCGCGTTGTTCCCGCCTCTTAAGACGATACCTCGAACAAATACCTAGCGTTAACGATGGTTTACGCGTAGATCGAATCGTCGTTGCCTAGGTAGACCGTGTGCCAGGTCTTCCGTTATCGATGTACGAAATGTACATTTGCACTTATGATCGTACGTACACGCACGCACCGCGCAACACGCAAACCAAATGTCTATGCATTCCACGAAGATCGGCTAGGACACTAAGAGAGATTGGAAGAGTGAGAGAGAGAGCGGCAGCATGTGCGAGTGAGAATTCGCTGCTAACCAGTCGGTGGAGGAACGGTGGGAGTGTTGTTGGGGTGATAGCGGACGGGGGTGGGTGTTTACTTTTGGTGTTGGGCAAGTAGCGCCCGGCATGCATGGTTCCCTCTGATAGCAAACACTGAGTATCGATCAGTATGACTCTGGTAAACAACTATTGTAGAGTAGTATAGTATAGAACGGGTTTTGTCCCCTTCGACCCCCTGCCGCTCCTCGCTGTCCCATTCCCCGGTACCACTGGACACCCCTTCGCTCCTCGCAACCCCTTCGTTCTGTGTGCCAACCCTGCGTCCACCCATTCCCATCCTCGACAACTCCGTCGTGTACTCGCGATATGCCTGCTTACGTGTCGGACAGGGCCGTCCTAAACGAGGATTCTTTGCAACGGACGCGTGTCCAATAAAAACGCGCGCGGTTTCCCGATTTTTCACTTTCGGATTTTCCGATTAGCACCGATGGAATCGTCGTCTTTCTCGCGATCAGTTATCGCTTCGTTTATTCACCGATGTTGTTTCTTGCGTCGATAATTTGTACCGTTGTTTATGTTTCGTTACCGCGTACGACTTTTCCTTGACATTCGCGTTCGTTGCGCGTGCAACGGGAAATAGTATTGGGTATTGCGCGTGACGTAAGTAGCTTCGGACGGTCATGGTCAGACATCGCGCGACGCGAGAGATATAACGGACAACGGTAGGAGGGTTGAATCGAGTGGTTCGGGTTATAGGACGATCGTTTGTTTTTCGGTGAAAAATGTTTGCATTTTCATTTTCTTTTTTTTCGCGATAAAACGATGCCTGTAGAGTTGGAGAAAAATTAGTAGTAAGATTGGAAATAAGTACGTCCCTGAAGCGGATGCTAATCATCTTGGCGAAGGGTGTCTGAAATTGTCGCCCCATCGCGCAATCCCCAAGCTCGCCAACCCCTGCGACTCACCCTAACGGCTCGCTTAACCAAACAACCTTGATAAATTATGCAAAAATCAACAACACTACGAAATGCACCTCCCACGCAACCTGGATAGATCGAGGGTTGAACACCACGATCCTTCTGCTATGATTGTTGAAAACTTTTTTCTTTTTCTTTTTATGCTCCGCTAGAAAATTATATCGCGACATTGATTATCGTAGAGCGCGATTTTCTTAAACGCGATTGTAATCTTTCCTTTCCTCGTTCCTTTTCCCGTGTGTGGTATCTTAATTTCGATATGCAAATTATTTAAACGTTTGCACGGGAAACGGTGATGCGTTTTTTAAACGTTGCGTACGATTAATAAATGCATAATAATCAGAGTGCAATAATTCGAGGGAATTTATTGCGACCGATGTAATTTTATCAGAAATTTTCACCGAATGTAGTTTTATTACTGAGCGAATGAACCACATTAACCGTTTATGCCGCTGTGCATCGACGTGAACGATGTGTGACCCGTGAAATCCGCGAGCCAATAAATGAATATAGCCCACGCGTGAGAATAAAATCCGTCGCTAAACTGTGCAACAGGTGTTAGAGGTTATTGACAATCTTTTCATCAGAATGACGGTGTTTGTGCGATATTTCGCCGAATATCGGGGCTTTTAAGCGATAACGATGTCCCTTTGCACAGGCTCCTGTTTTGTCGCATTTTCCGGATATTACTTTCCGATGGGTATTATTTTCCTGCCGATTAACGATTGATCCGTCCTCTTATTTATTACACGGTTAAACGGCGTCTCTCACGGCGTGCCGACGTTATAATTATTATCGACAGCGGAGAAACGATATTAGAGCTGTCTCGAATTTTGACGGGACGGTTCCCGATCGCGAAATCGATAACGTCGGAAAGGCGAAAGGATTTATCCGAAACAAAAATCGCGCCTGGTATCTCGCGAGTGTCTGTACACTCTTGCTTTCCGTGCTTTCTCTTTGTCCGTCTCCCTCGGCATCCCTCTTTCACCACCGCCATTGAAGGTTGTTATCAATACCGCAGCTATGCTCCGCGGCATTGTGCGATGGTTTGCTTCCGTGTCGAGAAACAAGACGAACAACAACAACAAACAACAACAAACTAGCCGATGCGAAGTCCCCCTCCGCCCTTCCTTTCCGCGACCTGTTTTCCCCACATTGTCCTCACCCCCATCGTTCGCTATCGTTCCGATTATAGCCATGACAGTTTCAATCTTGCCTACCATACGTTCCTTTCTTCGATACGTGTCACTGTCTGGCATAACTTTCCGCGGTAACCTCCAATCGTATCTGCTTACTCTTTCGTCCATCGTGTTCCATCCAAGTTTCTCATTCACCGTCTATTCCCTGTATCGAAATTGCTCGCGTCCGAACGCCAAGGAGATTATTCAAATGTCACTAGGGACGAACTTTTCCCTAGCGCCGAGTTATTTGAAAAACAAGAAAACAAAATGGAGAAAAAAAAAGATGGTAAAAATAGAAAATAAAGAGCACGCGTATATTTAGAAGCTGAAAGAACGATTGACGCGCGCGTTTTGTAAATACCATGAATGAAAGGTATCGCGAATCGATGATTATCCGAGACTACGCGCATACGACGATGATAAATTACCCTTCGCGGTGATGAATACATCGGAATGGCTCGTCAGCTTTAGCGTGGTCTTAGGACTAGGCCGAATCGATAACAATAACTACATCGAGCCACATCCAGTCGCGCCTGTATCTTAACGAACAAGCTGCGTCGCTCGTAAACGAAGATCAGCATCTATCGTTAATAGCGTAAACGATATCGCGAAAACCTACACGTGTCGCGATTATCTGATTATCTAATTACCGGTATCTCGGCGGCGTTGCCGCAACACGTCGCGAGACAAGTACCGTCGGCCGTGTCCCGATACAAAATTCAAGCTTCTCGAAATTTTTGCCCCGGCAGTGAAGCCGGGCTGTACGTTCAAACCAAAAGCGTATTTACGAAGGAGGAGCTGGTAAGTGCTGGCCGGAATATCCAAGAAGACGCGGGTGACAAGGAAGAAGGGACAGAGAGGGAGAAGGAGTGAAAGAGAGACATGGGAAGGGAGAAGAAGGAAAAGAGGGAGCGAGAGGAAGAGAGACACGGAGAGAGGAAAGAACGACAGACACGAAGGCAGAAGGAGCCACGTAGAAGTAGCGAGGCTTCGCGGACGAAGCGTGTCTGACAGAAACGGGGCTATAACGAGGAACGAAGAACGAGGTACGTTCGGACAGAACGTGCAACGAGGAAGCAACGAAACGACGAGGGAGGGATGGAGACAGAGGGAGGCCGAGTGAGTGCGCCGACTCAGTAGCCGCGTGTTCGGTGCGGCCGTAGGGTTTCGCGGCCAAGCGGTGCCGAGCGTCGCACAGTCGCGACGGCAGCCACCGGCGCGCGGTACCCCTTTTTCTTTAAACCACACTCTCAATTCCGCACGGTTCAGTGCTCCGATTGCGAGAGAGGGCGCCTTCCGTCGTTACCACCACCACCACCACCACCACCACCACCACCATCACCACCACCACCACCACTACTACTACTACTACTACTACTACTATTATTATTACTACTACTATCACTACTACTACTACTACTACTACTACTACTACCGCTACTGCTACTACTACTACTGCTACTACAACTACTACTCCGACACCACCACTAAAACACCACCACTAATACCATCCAACCCTCCCTTGAAAAATATCACGCAGCACTTACGAGGATAACACGCGGACACGAGTCGTCCTTTCCCTTGGCCCGGCAGAGATAGACAGATATCGTCGTAAGCTACCGGTTGCCCCGACGCATTCTCGCGCTCGCGTCCCGACCAGAGAGTATAAACCGCGACCGAGAGAAATCGGCATCGTCCTTCTCTCCCCAAGGAGAGAGACACGTGGCGCGGCGCACGCGGAGGTGTCCAACGAGCCTGAGAGGAGCCGTGAACCGCGGAGGGAGAGACAAGATAAATAGATAGATAGAGGAGGAACAGATAATAGATAAATAGGCCTGAAAGGACGGGAAAGAGAGTGGGAAGGAGAGAAAGAAAGGACGGACGGACGGAAGGAAGGAAGGAAGGAAGGAAGGAAGGAAGGAAGGAAAGAGAAGGAGGAAAGGGAGAAAGAGAGAAAGAGGAAAAGGGGGGTGGAAGTGGACTGGGACGAAGGAAGGGGGAGGCGGAGAAAGGTAGAGAGGTGGCAGAAGGACAGAGGAACGAGAGGGGGTGGGCGGGAGAAGACAGACAGGGAGGAAAAGTACGAATCGCCAGGACGAAGACTGTGGAAGATAGAGGAGAAACGGGAAACGGGTCTTGTGTCTTCGTTTCGTTTCTTCGAAAAATACGTTTACGAAGAGAAGGACGGAGGAACAAGCGACAGCCACGAGCGAAACGACGAGGAGGAAGCGGAACATGCTGGAACCACGCTGGAGACCCGTCCAGGTAGAGACTTACTTCACCCTGCAACACTTCTTCCGTCTTCACTGCACTGCTTATGACACCCGATGCCTGATTGACCATCTGCCTGCCTGACCGCTCGCTCGCTCGCTCGCTCGCTCGCTCGCTCGCTCGCTCGCTCACTCGCCTGCCTGCCTGCCTTCTTGCCTACTTGCCTGCCTGTCTGCCTGCCTGCCTACCTGTCTGCCTGTCTGCCTGTCAATGATCAAATACGATCGTATGGTTGCATCTGCGTCATGTACTCTCTTTCTCGCTCCCACTTTCTCTCATTCTATCTTTCTCTCTGTTCGTTTAAGTCTGTCTCTTTGTCTCGTCATTCTCTGCCGCTTGCTTCATTCACCGTTCTTTGCGTTGCTCTTACTCAATGATGATCGCCACGTGCCATCGACGAGTCCCTTTGCACGCTGTCGTTACCAGAGACTGTTGTTCAGTTTTTTCCAATCATTTGCATCTATCGCTTCCTTCTCTCGTTGGTGTGCGTGCCGCTTTTGTTCTACCCTGTTTTCTCCCCTCCTTTGTCCCTTGTTTCGAATTGTTTCGTTTTGTCACGGGAGAATTTAGCGTCTCCGCGGAGATGGATGCGCGATCGGCAGCGCATTCGATCCGAGGATTCGAAGATGTCCCGATGATTTCGCTTGGAAATCGGCACGGAGCGATATTTATCGCGTCGTAATAGACATCCACGCGACCCGGAATAGAATCGACACCAAGTACGGAAATACTTGAAATTACCGTTGCATTTTTAATGACAAGCGGCGTCATTTTCAGCCGGTGAAATTAGGTCGTTACGAAAACAGAGTCGACGGAAATGGGTACTAAATTTTTGGCAAAAACGATCGATTTTGCCAACGCGTTGATTATTTTACCGAGAGACGTGTACGCGCATACGCACGACCGCGGATCACGCTAATGTGCACCGTAAGGGTCTAGTATTTCAATAAACCCAAGTTTAGACTTATCGTATTTTGTCGCTTAGCGGTGCTGCACGCGTCTCGTTATAATATAGATAAATGGCTCTTTGCTTTGGGATTTTCTGATTGATCTTACGTTGAGCGGACCGGGCGATATTCGTGGAAATGACACTTTAACGATCCTGACAAGACAAATAGGTGCACCGGACAAGCAGAATGGTTGGTCAAATAAATCTCGCTACACAGTTCCAAGATTAACTACGCTCGAGTAACTAAATGCGTACCTGCCTTAGTACAGAAATCTTTCCGGCAAAACGCATTTTTCCTAAAAATAATCTTGGCAGTAATAGGGTTGCTTTGACGCTGCCTGGAGATTCGAAAGATATAATACCGCGATATGAATCATTGTGTTATTGGCTCAATTATTTCAACAACTCACTGCAACCTATTTCGCCTGTATAGTGCTCGCTACCATTACGTTTTCGCCGTAATTTATCGCTTTTAACTCGAAACGTGTACGACTTAATTAAAAGAAAAAAAAAGAAAAAAAAAAGAAGGAGAAAGAGGAAGACGTAGGAAAACATATACATGTAAAAAGGAGAAATAGGGAAGAAAGGGACAAGTACGATAAAGACCTAACCCTCGCGCCTGATCGTCCTAAATTTACGGTCGCGAGAGCATCGATTAATCGCAACGTCTCAATCTTCCCCGTAAATTTATCCGACGTATCCAACGAAACATCCGAGATGGCACCCAGCTTGGTATATTCGTTTGGTAATGGTAGTTACGCTTCAATCGAAGAACGCTTCGCGTTACCTGGGAATAGAGGTGATTTTTCTCAGAAGGATATAGTCAATGGGAGTAGACGAAGCTATGGGAGGATGATGGTGTGTGGGTGGTGTAGGTATGAGACTGCAGAAGTCCCGGGGTGTAGTAGGTGGAACAACGCAGAGACGGAGGCGGTCCTACCCTACTTGGGGGCGTTAAAGAAGTAGGTGGGGTTGGCCACCCCCGCGCGTCAACCCTTGCACCCCGCGTCTCCGAAACCCCTGTGGATCGCCCGGTTCCCTTCGATCCCATATTCGCCAATCAACTAACCCACCCTGCGTCTCCATCCTCTCTCCTTTTTCCGTTTTCTAGTGCTCCTCCAAGGCTGCCGGTGCTCCGTGCAGCCATCTGCTTCTGGTCCCTTTGGCTGACCAAAGATTTCGTCAAAATTCAAAGGCGACTGCTCACTGACAGCCGTGTTAAAACGGATCGTCGTCTGACGATCGCTCGAAAGGCTAGAGGTCCGCGTGGAGTGACGACGAGGACGAGGGCAACGACGGTGACGACGACGACGACGACGACGACGGAACGTCGACTCGAGAAGTGTTGGAAATTCTGATACGGTGTTTCCCGGTTGTTCGATGATCGCGTGGTCCACGGTGTGTCCCGATCGATTCGACGTGTTATTTCGTGGTGTCTGGTGCGTGGTATCGTCGGTCCATCGTCTACGATCGAACGGGGCATTACCTGGCAACGATTCCGAGTCACTGTCACGCCTTCCTCGTTGCTCCAACGAAGGTCCAGATCGGCCAAAGGGTGTTGCTTGTCAATCGTGGTGTATATTTCGCATCATCCCCGCCACGCTCCGTGCTCGCCCATCTTCTCACCTCTTCTACAGCTTTAGACGTACACACGTCTAAGCGTGCACACTCGTGCGTTCCACGCATACGTATAGCGGGGGCAGCGGGCGTGTATGCAAGCCGCATAGGATGAAGATACATACGGTACAGTGTACCAACACAGTTGTGCCACTATAACCCCCGTTTTCGCGCTTGCTTGGCACGGCACAGCATCCCTCTTCGGCTACTTCCGGCCAGACCAGGCTCCGCCCACTTTTATATTAATCACGTCTTGGTTCGCTCCTGGCTTCTGTTCTCCATCTTTCTTCCCCAGTGAGCGATTTCCTACCGTGGACGCCTGGGAACCACACCTTTGCCCGTTGGTTTATTCATGCTCCAGGTTTGCCACGCGAATCCTCGTATATATATATATATTTTTTTCCTTTCTTCTCTTCCTCTCGACGTCGTTGTCGCTAAGCCGAAGGATGCAATCCCGTAATGCATTCCGGCAGCGTCCGCGCGAGCGTGGACGGTACAGATAATGACAGCTTCTCGATGGTATCGAACGCGATCCGCGAGGACAGGTATAGAGGTATACAAAGGACCGATGTTTCGCCGCGAACTCGTATCTTTGAATCGTTCGGACTACCCTCGCGATAAGAACGAATCGATAACGCGTCTGATAATGTTTCAAAAAGCTACGGATCCGGATGGATCCATCGGCGTCTCGCGTAGCGTAAATTCTCCGGTAGTTTATAACGCGTCGCGTTTTTCCCCCGACACCGTCGAAGGGGAGTCGTAGTGCGATATTTCACGAATCGTCGTGTCCTCGACGGCTCGAGAGGAGTCGAAAAAAAAAAAAAAAAAAAA